GACAGCTCAAGCGCGCCCGGGCTGTCCCACTGCGGGCGTGCTCCAAGGCTTTGCTCCCCGTCTCCCTGGTCGGACCAGCAGACCAGGGAGATGGGGAGCAAAGCTTCGGAGCACGCCAGAAGTGGGACAGCGCGCCACGCCTGGACTCTCCCGCTGCCCGCGTGCTCTGCGGCTTTGCTCCGTGTCTCCCAGGTCAGCAGACCAGGGAGACGGAGCAAAGCCATGGAGGACTTGGGCGTCCCCACCCCCGTCTCCCTGGTCTGCTGGGAGGGGGGGTGCAGCTAGTGCCCCCCACCCAGCAGACCAGGCTTTTCTTGCCTGCCCCTGGGGGAGAGCAGCTGCGGGCTGCCGGGTTGATCCCGCAGCGCCACTCCGGACCAACCCGGCAGCACCCCAGCTGCTCTGCCCCAGGAGTCCTGATTCAGCCGCTGATGGTCAGTTTCAGCAGCAGCTGACTTGGGGACGCCTGGGTTTCTTAAGCTGAATCTGTATGTAAGTCAGAACTGGCATCCAGATTCAGCCGCGGTTGAAACTCATCAGTTTCAGCAGCGGCTGACGCCAGTTCCGACTTACATACAGATTCAACTTAAGAACAAACCTACAGTCCCTATCTTGTACGTAACCCGGGGACTGCCTGTATTGTCCAAGTAATGCCCAGAGATAAGACTTAATGTGCAGGCTGACTCTAGACAAGACTAAAAATGGTGATGCAAGATCCCAATTTCTTGTGTGTCTGATTTTTTTTTAAACTTATATAAACATATACACATATGATAAAAGATTTTTGTAATTTACAGCACTACAGACTCAGCCTAGGCTTGCAGAAACATATGGTTATTTTTTTCCTTGACAGGTTTTTTTGCAAGCAAAATCAGTTCTTCAGTGACAGTTGGCATAATTGGAATATTAAGAATTTGCCCCTCCATGACAGTCAGCAGAACAAGTCCTCTATGGATTTGCTCAGATGTTACTAACTATCCATGGCCAGCTTTTCTGTTAAGGTGGGGCATACAATAAAGGAATGAAATAAGATTTCTCCTCCAGCTCACTTGGTTCTATGGTGATAGTTAGGGATGTAACAGTATAACCGTTTCAACAGTTAAGTGATAAGCCTGGACTCATTGGTTACCGTTAATGGTAGCTACACGCAGACTCACAGCCCTGCTCCTGGGAAGCTGGCTGCCATCCCTGCTGTAGGAGGGGGGGCAGCTAGAGCTTGGGGCTGGCCCCTGCAGCCTTGCCCTACCCCCAGAGCAACTACAGGCTGGGGTGGGATGGAAGGAGGAACAACTATTCACAGTAGGGGGGGGGGGGAAGGCTGGGAAGGTGGGGAAGAAGGCTGGCAAGGTGGGAGGGCAGCAGCAGGAGGCTTGAAATTACCTCCCCAGGTCTGGAAAAGTCCCTTATCCAGGACTAATCAGGTTCTGAGGATGTCAGGACTAGGGAGGTTCAACCTGTATTGTGCAGTCCACAGCACCATTAGCTCTCTGGTAGTGGGGCCAGGGGGGGGGGGGAAGGCTGGGAAGGTGGGGAAGAAGGCTGGCAAGGTGGGAGGGCAGCAGCAGGAGGCTTGAAATTACCTCCCCAGGTCTGGAAAAGTCCCTTATCCAGGACTAATCAGGTTCTGAGGATGTCAGGACTAGGGAGGTTCAACCTGTATTGTGCAGTCCACAGCACCATTAGCTCTCTGGTAGTGGGGCCATCCGGCTCTGCTCCCAGGGAGCTGGCTGTGCTGCAGGCTCTGCAGTATAAAGGTTTTCCTGAGCTGGATTTCCTGAGTGTCAAGCATGGATAGGGCAGGCAGGGAACCGCCAGAGGCGGCTGGATCAAGCCCACGGATCATGTTTTGCTCAGCCGTAGGTTACACAGTCACCTAATTAACTGACTTACAACATCCTAGTGATAACCTGAAAAAAGTAAACATCTGACACACATACCCCCACACAAGCAGAACAGCCATATTTACATTACAACATTCAAAGCAGGATTGCACTACCAACAGACAATGCTTGAAAATAGATTTTTTAAAGTCGGAGTTTCCTAGCATACAATATAGGAAACTGTGTCCATTCAAACATATTTGAATCACACTAATGTAGATGTACAATTAAAGGTTTAAAAAAAATCCACCAAAGCTTTTACAGTATTATTAACAACATTCTCTGCACACTTTCACTTAGTTGAAACAAGTTGAAATGTATGACCAAGGTGAAATTTATTGGAAATCTCTATTAAAAAAAAAAAAGGGGAGGGGTGAGATTCAGAATAAAAACTTAAGCCTTAACTCAGCTTCTCAATTTGTCATTCTAAGTAACCCACTGACATATTGTGTGAGAATTTTGCAGTAGTTACTATGGAATTGTTAAAAGCCAACAGAGTTTAAACACATCCATGTCTCACTTTAAAAAGAGTCCTTTGGGGATATTCTCCCTCCCCTTGTGCAACTTTTTGATTGCAAACAGCTACTTCTTACATGCAAACCAAGACAAGCACCACATTCTCTGTCAAACATATACAAAACCCATTCTAAACAAACACATTTATATTTGCTTTGAAATAAGCTTGTTTATTTACAGACATGTCAAAAATACAACATTTCTGCTCTTCCCACAATCAGATTTAATTCAGAAAAATGTTTGGAATATTCATTCTAGTTTTTGTAACACCAACATCTTAGTAAATGATTTTCAGCTAAGTGAATTGATTTGAGGTTGTAAGTTTTATTTTAGTTATGATTTACCGTGCAAGATTGAGATGAAACAAACCTGGTAAAGCCGGAGAAAGTTCATTGTAGCCTCCAAATGAAGCATTCCGGACAAGTTTTCGGACAGCAGATCGTGAAGGAAGCACACCAGACGAAACCCCAGCACATGAGGAAAACCTACGTCGCAGAGGACCCTCTTCCTTCATGAGTTAGGTGGTCTGTGTAAGGATTATGTTCACTCAGACAGTTGGTTAGTATTAGCTAGCTGGAACAAGAATGTTTAAACAACAGACTTGCACCTCACATTCTGATGACTAAGATCACAATGGAATAGACACAAAGGACAGAGATACACACTGATGTGAGGAGATAACATAGGATATCAAAATTAGCTACAGATGTTGTAGGCTCCAATTATGTTGCTGCAGATTCTCTTAATGAAAGTGGAATATATTGGTGTCCCCCCTACAATTCTATTTCAGTGATATTTAACGTCAGGCTGCTGTTCAACACTGCTCACTGGGCACTAGGTAACTCACTACTTGGGGTTTCAGAATGGATTTATTAAATAGATTCTGCTGCCTGCTTGTTTCCTGAATAAAGACTAACTCATGATTTTATGTTTTAATGTGGGTTTCCCACTGAAGACTTCATTTTAAAAATATACCATCATGAATACTGGAGAAGGCAGCCAATGCTAATAATAACTTTTAGTTTAGGCTCTTGCTATCCATTTTGTGTCACCTATAACTACTTTGGATCTATAGTGGCAAGCCGCTGGATCCGGCCCGCGGGCTGTCGTGCCAAAACCCTCAGGCACAGAAGCACCCCCACATCATTTTAAGCAATTGGCCTCTTCCTGTGGCTCTGCTCCGGCTCTGCTCCAGACTCCAGAGAGAGGGAGAAGCTTTGCGTGCTGCCCTTGTCCCCCAGCATAATTTCTTAACTCCTATTGGCCAGTTTCTGACCAACAGGAACTGAGAAATTGTGCTGGGGCGGGGGCAGCATGCAAAGCCTTCTCTGCCCTTTAGCACGGCACCAGGAGCAGAGAGCCACAGGAAGCAGCCAGCTGTTTTGAGCAGCCTGGAACTGCAGCAGGCAGAGATAATGGTCTCAGAGTCTTGCAGGGCTGGTGACCAAGAGCCACCTAGGTAAGCGCCTCCTGGCCAGAGCCTGTTCCTTGCACCCAGCCCCTCTCATACCCCAACTCCCTGCTCCAGGTCACCACCCAGACTCTCTGTAGGCCCCAACCCCCAGATCACAACTCCCTCCTAGACCCTGCACCCCTCCTACATCCCTCCTCCAGACCAGAATCCTCTCCTGCATCCATACCCCAGCTCCAACCCTGCACCCCAATCACCTGCTGCAAGTCACAACTTCACACAAACTTCCCTCTCAGACCTCACACCCTCTCATGCACCCCAGCTTTTACCCCAAGCTCCCTTCTGTACCCAACCTCCATCCCAGACCCTCTCCATAGGCTTTCCATAACACGAGAAGGGAGGGGGCTGATTAGAAGCCAGCAATTCTTCTTCCAGTGGTCACTGCAGTGAGTGGCCAGGGCTCCACATGGCCAGCCATCAGACCAGATAAGTGTCCCACCTGCCCCAAACAGTGCCAGATGGGGGGAGAAGGCCCGTCACATCCAGTCCCACCACTGTGGCCCCCCAGAACCTTCCCTGGGACTGGACAGTGCATCCCAGTGTAATCCAATAAAGGTTTCCCCAAAGAGAGGCTTGGGTCACTGCAGTGAGTGGCCAGGGCTCCACATGGCCAGCCATCAGACCAGATAAGTGTCCCACCTGCCCCAAACAGTGCCAGATGGGGGGAGAAGGCCCGTCACATCCAGTCCCACCACTGTGGCCCCCCAGAACCTTCCCTGGGACTGGACAGTGCATCCCAGTGTAATCCAATAAAGGTTTCCCCAAAGAGAGGCTTGACCCCCCGACCTGCTGTAGGACGGGGGGCAGCTAGAGCTTGGGGCTGGCCCCTGCAGCCTTGCCCTACCCCCAGAGCAACTACAGGCTGGGGTGGGATGGAAGGAGGAACAACTATTGGTCAGGGCTAGACCCTGGTGCTCCCC